GTCGAAACTTATCGAATTAGAAAATTTTGAAGTATATTGTAGTTGATAACTGAGTTTTATGCATTTCCCATTTGTAGTGTCATAACTAATAATTTTGATTTTACATACCGCGTTATTATGAGATTTACATATAAATTTAATATGCAAAAAATATAATCTTTTTTTGTCTATCAAGCTCACTTTTATACTTTTATAATAAAAATTCGGTTTATATATTGGATAACTAAAATAAGGGAACAAACTTCGAAGGTGAGTTCCCCACATCAAAACAAAGTTTATATAAACATGCCTAAAAAAATATTTTTAAAACAGAAAAATATAACACCAAGTATATAAAAAAGATATCGAATATTCATACCTTTTTTAATAAAAAAATAGATTTGAAATAAATGCACTTAGCTTAAGTATTTTATTATTTTAAAAAAACCTTGAAAAAACTCATTTGTAAAGAAACTTATTAATTATTAGATAAGAAGGATTTAGTAATTAAAGTGATTAACTGAATTCAACTTTTTTTTAAAAATTCATATATAAAATATTTATTAAGTCTTAGAGTCTAATTCGACGCGTGTATTAAATCAATGAGACACTTTGAATATATTGCAATTGATAATTAAAAATAAATAATATTAAATAATAATATTACTTTTTCGTTTTCCATTAATAACATTTATTTGAGCTGTATCTCAGTAATAGTGAATTTGCGAATATATATTTATTATATGTTATATATATATGTTTATATGTTTGTATGATCTTTTTTCTTGCTTGGTGTGGGAGCCCCAGAAGTTTAGTCGCTTTATTTTAGTTACATCCTTATAATGTCCATTATCATCGATTTAATTCTCGCGATAAATCCACGCGAGCGTCGTAAAAAAGATTTGACTAATATTAAACTGGAAGAGCAGATGTTCATTTGCTTTGTGTTTTTTGTACATATGTATATTTTTGTATCTCGAAAACGAGGGTACGTCACGAGACAAAAATTTGTGATTTACTAACGAAACTACCTGCAAGGTGCGGCATTTCAGTGTTTAGTAAACTCTTTGGTAATTGACGATGATTCCTAAGCGAGGCGCAATTTTTACTTAATTATTGCCTTCTTTTTTAATGATTACAACTAACTATTACAACTAACAACAGGTAAATGGCTTCTCGTGTATGCCGTGTGCAATACTGGTGTTCTGCGGGCTCTCCTCGACGGAGGGCGAGGGCAGCATGTCATCGTTTCTAAAAAAGGTATTAGAGTCGGAAATCTTAAGAGTAGTGTTTGTATCGTTATTGTCTGATGCCATTCTTCGTAGACCCATAGCGATTGCCAGGAAAACGGTCTCTACACCCTCGTTATATAGCACTGAAATCTCATGATATGTAGCACCAATTGTTGTGGCGTACCTCCGACCTTCCTCACCGTCGACTTGACGCTTTTGCACCAGATCAGACTTGTTGCCGATCAAAGCTAGCACCATCGTTTCCTCCACATTTTGTTGTAGCTCCTTCACCCAACTCTTGATTGCGGCGAAGGTGCTGTACTGCGTAAGATCGAACACTAGCAGAGCTGCGTTGCAAGTCCTGTAGTACATCGGCGCCATAGAGCGAAATCTCTCTTGGCCAGCCGTGTCCCATACCTACATAAAAATGAAGCTTTTTTTTAATTCTTTATATTAATTTAATTTTCTTTAAACATTACTAAATTTAGTATTGTTGCTAGATAAAGCATGCATTATTTTTATGTCGAAAGTGCAACGATATTGAGACAATCAAAGCGAAAAGGGTGGTTAAGAAAAGATAATACAAAAAATGTTAATCTCATGTCTTAATTCGTATCGAAGCAATATACTTAATCTATTAAATTTAAATTAATTGCTAAATATTAATATAAAAGCGTAAAAAAAATAATTTTTAAAAATCCTACTTGCAATTTTATCCTCACATCTTCCAAATTGATCTTACAGTTGAAGAAAGATGCTCCTATTGTAGGACTTGCATGTTCGAAATTTCCAACGTAACATCCGATTAAGCTCGTTTTACCAACACCTGAAAATAGTATCGAGTATTATACTTTAATTCTATTTTCATACGATATTATTATTATTGTTCAATGTTAGTCTTGAGACACTTGATAATATTCATCGAACATCGTTTTACATACAAAAAAAATCGATTGTCTTATCTAATACCGAGTATTTCAGATTATCTGGAATTGAGTCTTCGTTCGATATAATACAAATAAATTAATTTTTGCATAATCAATTGTATTCATGTAATTATATTTAATTAAAAATTAAACAATGAAGAAAAAGGCTCCTCTCTATAAACGATCGCAAATAGATATTAATATCTACCTAATGATATTTTTATACGTTACATATTTTTACATAATCTTTCCAGTTCTTTAAACTGCACGCCGATTACTGTCGAACTTACAAAGCTATCATAAACTAAAATAATCTCACAAATCGAGTATCAATTTTGATGATAATGCTAATAGTAACTTAATATCTGTAGTTAAGTAACTTATTGTAAAAAATATTACATCAGCTGGGATTTGGCATAATATTTTTCGCAATAAGTCATTTACAAGTATTAAGTTGCTATTAGCTTTATGATCAAAATTGACGTTAGGTCTTTTTCCTTAATTGTTTGATTTATTCATATAACGATATAGATGAATTTATTATTGCTTATATTTAATTATTTATTTTTAAATAGATATTATATTATTTATTTTTAAATAGATATTATATTATTTATTTTTAAATAGATAATCATATTTCTTCAAATAAACGCTAAATTTAATACATATGACAATTTAACCATTAAAACTATTGCAAAATGTAAGAGTGAGAATATTAAGCGAATTTGGAAATAATGGGAATAATGGGAAGGATAAAAAGACGAGCAAATTGAAGGCGAAAAATTATAATAATTTATTAAAATATGATATTAATTTTTCAATCAATTTGTTCGTCCTTTTGGCTTTTTCATTGTCTATTTTTATTTTAGAACATTACGAGCTGAACCGTATCAATTAAGTGAATACTTTTTACAAATAATATAATTTATAATTTCCACTTTAGTGTCAGATTTCAGAATAGCATTATATTTTTATAATCTTACGTTGAATTTTGATGTATCTATTTTAATATATACTTTATATATGTATATTTCTGATTCTTCAAATCTTTTATATTGCACAACATATAAAAATATAAGTAGAATTCCATTCCAAATTCTGGCACACCTTGTAGATTTTTAAAAATGAATATAATATTACGCAGCGATTGACTGGCACGCATGGTCTAACGTTCGGCATTGTTTTTGTGTGACGTAAAACGCGTCATTTGTACTCTTGCGCCGCGTGATACGCAGTCGTTTTTCTGTTATTCGTGTGACGACGTTCGAGCGAACAAGCAGCGGCGCGAGCTGTTCCGCATGTCCTCGCATTAAATCCCCTCAAGACGAGATAATTGTGACGATTTTTAAAAGAAAACGTGATTCTCTATGATTATTTTATACAAATCCGTATAACTAAATTTCCATAAGAATTTCGAGACAATAATTATTTATCGAGATAATATTTCGCGCGACGCATTTATCCGAAATAGGAATCAAAACGCAGCACGAGATAGGCTTTGTAAATTACCTTTTCGCGACATTTAGTCGTGTATTAAGTGTATTAAATATCCCTTTAATAATTCTTGAATCGATATGCGTCCTGCTTTACTGATATATAATGAGTTTTTTAAATAATTGATTAGTCATCCGCGCTTGCGTACGCACAATTGCTTAATCTTTATTAATACATGATCTTTATGATTCGTAAATGTATTGAGATAACGATTATTAGCTATAGTGGACATTTTATACGATTGGTTTGTCGATTATTTTCGGATTCGTGAAATAACATGCAATTCCTGGATCAACGAAGTTCGAAAGAAATCCGTGGCTCGTCCGAAAATCCGAAAGAAATCGTAGCGATTTAATAACCATCAATACGAAACGTATACGACATGAATAGAAGATTCGGAATCCATTTATTTTATATTGTGTTACATATTTTGCGATAGCGATAAATTGTTTAACAGTTATTATAGCGTTTAATGCTCACCGACCTTTGCGATAAAGTGTGCGTTCATGCAAGGTCATGTTGACATTCACGCGGCGAGACTACTCAACAGAGTAACGAATAGCCTCCTATTGTTATTATTCTTCGAAATACGATCGTACGATAAGTATCAGAAGACATGATCAAGTCTTTTAAATAATTGATTGGTCATCCGTGCTCGCGTACGCGCAATTATTTTATCTTTATTAATACGTTGATCTATAAATGATTTATGATTTGTAAATGTATCGAGGTAACGATTATTAGCTAAAGTGGACATTTTATACGATTGTTATTACTCGATTTACGAGAAATTTTAATATTACAGACAATTAATTCTTTAATGAATTTCGATACTCTCAAATACATGTTTCTGCATCTGTGCATGGAAAGAATAGTTTTGCTGAAAAATTTAAAATTTTAGCTGGATACAAAGAAAATAATTTTGGACTATCAAAATAATTATAGGACATTCAAGTTGATTGTTAGAATGTTAAAGCGCTTCGCAACATCGTTATTGCGTTAAAGCGTTCTATAATTATTTATTTTGTTAATTAATTATTTTGGTCTGACAAAATTATTTTTAGATGTGTCTAGCTAAATTTTTAGATACTTTACAAAATCATTTTTTCTATGTGTATTTTTAAACATGTTATAATTAGCTAGACTTTATTAATTATACTACATCGCAACTATTGGCACAAAATTGCCAAAGTCATTTTTAAAATATCAATCATTAACAAAAGAAAGTCGTTCGTCGAATTGACAGACAGATCTAATTTCAATTTATGACTCGTTATTGAGCGTAGTTTCGCAAGATCGTGCTTCTTTCGCGTTATTTTTTTGTCATAATTTAATAAAATGTGTAGCGAATTAATACCTGATGTGCCTTGCAAAGTGCTGCGCAACTGTATTTAATTATATTTCTCCGAGTGAGTGTTAAGTGAGTGCGACGAATGAACAGTAATCAAAGAAGAGGAGGAGAAGGTCTGGGAGGTATCGGGTAACAGTGGAGCAATTATGGCGTAAGTATATAAATAATTTATTATTCACTTATTACTTATTATTCATCGAAAATTCAATTACTTAAATATCTCCGCTTGAAAAAAATCAATAAAAAATTTAAAGCAAATTTATTGCATGCGATAATTATATTTTGCAGTGTTAATAATTAATTATTTATTTTGCGGATGCTGCTGTGACTTGGATATATATATTTAGATATATTTGTATTTTACAGATCAATGCAGCTATGATGCAATCATAATTCCACTGCTGCGCGTCGTATCGGTGAGTCAGATTATCTTTCATTTTAATTGAGGTAATAGATTTATGAAAATTATTAATAGGATATAATATTAAAAATTTAAATTAAGAATATTATAGATAAATATTACAAAGTATTGTAGGTCAATAAAATTTTTATATTATAGTAATATAATATGCTTGTAATTATTAAAATACGAAGCAGAATATTTGTATATGACAGTCAAAATTTCTGTTTGTAATTAACTCGTCATACAGTATCGACTTATCGAATTATTATATATACTATATACTATATACTATCTGTGTGATAAAAATTAAAAAAGAATTAGTCAAGCGATAAAAATGAATATCATCGTACGAAAATGAATGATATTGATACACGTGACCGCAATTAACAGACTTGAACATGAATGAATTTTACGCGATATTGATTAACATTAAGATATAACTATTATTTAAAATTAATTAAGAGTTTCCATGCAAGAATTTTTTATTTTAATCAATTTTGATTTTCGATTTTCCAACGCGGCTTTATTAAAGTATTTTATAATTATATATTATTATAAATATTATGGGTTTTATATATATAATCCACATATCATTTTATTTATTTAACATTTTAATTTTTTTTTATACTTGATCGTAGCATATGAAATTTTAGGGAGGGGAATAAAAATTTGTACAAATTAACTGCACGCCTGTATAATTTTTACCTTAAATTAAGAGTTCCATATTGTTGCTATATTTTTCATTCATATATAATAATTATCATACTTTTTATCGGATGTTACGTTAGCCGAAAGTAGGTATGTATTTATGAAATGATTACGATAAAGAAGATATATGTATATGTTATGTGTACTCAATACGGAATTCCATTTCTGTATTATCTCTGCATTGTCTCGAGAAATGTGTCATGCTCGGATTTTGACCTCCAGATTCGGATATGTTTTAACGCGAGTACAAATATTATCATCTGCACTAAACAATGATATAATGAATTCGGAATTTAAAAAACTGCTTTATACAATTAATCTCAAAAAAAAGAAACCAAATAAATTTTGGACAATAAATTTTGGATAGAAGAAAGATCTTCAAGAAATCGGAATAATATTTGTTAACATGTAGTTTCTTATTTCTATATATCAACATAAACACAAACATAAAATTATAACAATAATAGAGATAACGATCGTAAAATCAATGCTTCAAGAAGAATCCAGAAAGCGAAACGTTTGCAATTTTTACGATTGTTATTTCTGCAAATACAGGAATTATCGTATATAAATTAAAGCAAATATTTATAAAAAATTGATTTCATTAGTTAAAATTATTAAAATATGTGAAAAAAAAATCTTTTCGAATCTACAATGAGGGGACTTTATTCTCACATGACGCGATTGAATAGGTATGTATCAGACGTTTTATTGCGACACATTTCTAGTCACGCACGTAAGCAGTGTGTATTACTAGATACAGATTGATATATCTGCGTTCATGGATAACGTTCACCTAACCTCACTGTAAAAGAAGCATCAAAAATAATGACGCGATGATCGAGGTATGCGATCGCGTCCTCGCCGTTTCGCGATTCGTTGCATCGTAACGTCAGGTGTCCTTTCGTTGGCATTACATAACGATAATTAGGCAGCTTGTTCGCCTCGTTTACCGATGAACGCTTACCTTGCGAACCCAGCATTACTACTTTTCCCTCTATCGTCTTCATGTTCGACGCACTACATAATCAAACTACTGAGTTGTCCGTTCCGTCGAACCGGAATTCACGCGTGCTACTCAATTAGGCGACCAAAAGTACAGCTGTTTTGACGTTTATCACGCTTCTAGCGGATATCCCGCGATTATATTGATGTTCTGATCGGTAACTTGGGTTCATCACTTTCTCTATCTGAAGCCACTCTTTGTGATTATTCTCTAAAGCCATCTTCCAACGGTATGCGATGACTAGCCGGTCTGCCGTCTCCTCCTTCGGTTGATAAAGATAATTAATCAACAGAATAGCTAATAATAGACAACAGGCTTATCTCATTTTCTACGTTAAATGCGAGATTAAGTTGATTGAATTTAAAATTATTAGATTGATCAAGTAATTAAAGTTTATCACAAGCAACCGTCATTCGATAAGTTATCTACAGAGGTAACTCTTGAAAACGACGAGTCATTTTAATCTCTCGTGTGATAAGTTTTATGTATTCTTGTATAGATGGCAATCACCTATACTCATTTATCATTTTGATGATTCCTCATAATGATGACGAATAATCGTTTAATTTGAACGAATCTTTTCGAGTTCAATATACTCTGTAGATATTCGCATACATTTACACTACATTATATATACTCATATATCTTTTATGAAGATAATATGGTAAAAAGAAGAAAAATTGAAATAAAATAAAACGGGATAATTAAAGGTTATTTTTTATTTACATCCCTTAATTTAAAAAATTCAATTATTATATTTTGCGCTATTGTTTATAGATATGAGTATATATTTTTAGAGATTCGCCATTTCTATTCGAGCAATTTATTTCTACAAGGCGTAATATCGAGCATCTGTTTTTATACGATGAAACTTGTTTCTCATTTAACACAACAATGCAACTTAATTAATATTAAATATACGGGCGGGTAATTAGTTAACGTGGAATTTATCTTGATATCAACGCACGTACCAGTGCGGCCGTTATACATTTGTGTGCGACTTCGTTATATTTTATCACGGGGAATTACCCTCATTTTCGATTTCATGGCGAGATCGGCGTTTTACGGTACGTCGCATCGTCGGCGCGCGCAGACGTTAGTTTAATTCGTGTTACTTCCCTCATAAATCCGTCGGGACTTGGTGCGCGTCTACAGGACGACGGTATAACGTGGTGCATAACGTAAAATTCATATATGTACTCACGTGTATATATCGCGGTAAAGCATTCGCCGAAGGCGTACGAGGGTTGGAGGAGGGTGGAATCGTAGACCAGGAAACCACGAGAGAGAGCCTCCGCGATTCCAGCGCTCGTTTTCGACCCACCCTGGCGAGTGCTTTTTCCCTCCCTCTCTTCCTCCCGTCGATCTCTCTCTCTCTCTCTCTCTCTCTCTCTCTCTCTCTCTCTCTCTCTTTGAGCTGGGGCTGTTCCGATTCCAGACAGTTTTTGCTGAAACATCGTACCGTTGATCCGGCATTTTCCAGGCTGCTTGGTTTATCGCTCGGCTTGATCCCTCTGTTCGTACCGCGGTGTTACAAGCCCCTGCAATCGATGTTTTCGTCCCATCTTTCTTACTCGAGCTACGTTCTTACGGCCTCTTCTCTTCTTTCCGCCTCCCTTTCCTCCTTCGTTCTGCCGTTCCTCCCTTTTGCCTCCGTTATCGGAATTTACCTATGTATTTCCTTGTTTCTCTCCATATCTCTCTCTCTCTCTCTCTCTCTCTCCTTTTCTCAACCTCGGTAGATAACCGTTGCCGTTTGTCTCTCGACTCTTATAGTTACATATACGCGGCGATGTAAAGCTCTGTACGATCCCCTGACCGTGCATTCAAGACCTCGATCTTGAAGGAGAAGGAATCGACTTGCAATATCGAGTGAAGTTACAATACAGATACATTACGTTATGCCAGAGAGAGAATGGAGTTTTGTCGAATTTTTATTTCTCAAGAAACGATCTAATCCTTTGATGCATGAATTATTTATTGCAGTCAAATTTTTTGAAACTTCGTATCTAAAGGTTTTTTGAGTCGCTGATCACGAATCTGGAGTCAGTTTAGCAAAATTCAACATGGCGGATTCAATATTAAAACGAATTAAAATTAAAAAAATATTTTCTTTGCCTTAAAAATTGGTATACAGAAGTTTCTTTGGGTCGTCGATTACAAATCTGGAGTCAGTTTTGCAAAATTCAATATGGCCGATCGAATGATTTACCAAAATTAAAAAAATTTTTTATTTACCTCGAAAATTGATATACAGAGGTCTTTTTGGCTGCAATATCCTTATTCTTGCTCTTACCATAACCAAAATTTGCAACATTTCAGTAATGTTATATGCCGAGTAGGTAACTTATTTCGGGAATTTCATTTCAAAATTGTAATCATCGATCCCAAAAACCTCAATATATCAATTCTCGAGGCAAAACATTTTTTTTAATTTTTGGATCCGTCATCTTGAATTTTGAAAATCTGACTTTATTTTCGTAATTAGCGACTCTCAATATGTATGTATATGTATGTGTGTGTGTGTGTGTGTGT